GTTTAGGGTTTAGGGTTGTGGGTTTAGGGTTTTAGGGTTTAGAGTTCAGGGCTTTGGGTTTAGGGTTTCGGGGTTTTGGGTTTAGGGTTTAGGATTTAGGGTAGGGTTTAGGGTTTAGGGTTGAGGGTGGAGGGACTGCAGACGAAGGGACATTGGCAGAAGGGGAGCCTGCCATCCAGAGGGTATGTTGAGGGCTTTGACCTCGGGATCAGCCGATCAGCGGTTTAGGGTTTAGGGTTTAGGGTTTAGGGTTACCCTAAACCCTAAACCCTAAATTCCTGAAACTCTGCGTAGGAATCGTCGCTCAAGCCAGGGGACTTCTGAGATCTAAATGCCAACCCCCCAACTCTCCCAAGCAGATTTGGGAGCTGCTTTCACCTTAAACCTAAAGCCTTAAACCCTAAACCCAAAACACCAAATCCTAAACCCTAAACCCGGCAGGGCAGGCGAAAGTCCGTTCCATTTCACCTTTAAAAACCAAAACCCCAAAACCCCTAAACCCCTAAACCCAAAATACCAAACCCGAAGCCTAATACTCGGAACTCGAAGCCCCACACCACCAGACCTCAAACCCGATAGACTCGGAGCCCCAATTCACTCTAAGGTTGAAACCATGGGCCCCTAGTATGGGCCCTTAACCCTGGGATCCCTGTAACCTACTATACCCTTCAGGGTCCCTAGAAAGGCCTAAGGGCCCACATTAGGGGCCCATACTTCTAACCTTAGATTCACGCCACAGGCCTAGCCAACCTAGCGCCACTTTTTCAAGGAAGGTTTTCCAAGTAACTGCGGTCCTGATTATAAGGGCCCCCGAATCTGATACAGGGGCCTAAATAGCTACCTTTTTCTATTTTGGGGCTTCCTGCTTCCTTATTAAAATCATGAGTATAATATGCCCGAAACTCTGGTACCACCAAACCCTGGAACACCTTTTATAAAGCCCCTGAAAGCCCCATAGAAAGCCAAGAACCCGGCTCTCACCTCTAGCTCCGTCCTGGTCCCATTACCGTGAGCAACACATGGAGACCCTAAACCCTAAAGCCTAAACCCTAAAGCCTTAAACCCTAAAGCCTAAAGCCTGAACCCTAAACCCTAAACCCTAAGACCCTTGGGGCTTTAGGCTTAAGGTTCCTCCTTGGTTCAGGTTGGGCACTTAGGAGGCTTTGCCAGGGTGTTGGAGCCTGTTATGCGGGTTTCGTTATCGTTACTCCCGGTTTCAGAAGAGGGGTTTAGAGGTGCTTATAGTGAACCCCAAAAAGTTGGGAACCGGATTAAGGACAAATAGTGCTGGGATTCCCTCTACATTTTGGATTGAGGCTATTGGGTTTCCAACTTTTGGGCTTCTACTGCAGAGAGGGTTCATCATCGCGTAGCACCTACCCCTGCGGAGTGCCTCCGTGTTGCATGCTCCGAACCTGCTGCGGGTGCGGGGCAATGTGGAGACCCTACAGCAATCGCCTGACCATGCCTTCCGATTCCCCAAAGAGTGAACTCCAAGCAATGACGGCTCAACTGCCTTGCTTGAGCTGAGGTGATGCCCTAGACCCTAAATCCTAACACAGGGTCGAATAATCAGTAACAGCACTCCCTTGTAGCCCCTACCGTAGCGATCGTATAGTGTACCCCAAGACCTCTACTCGAATTATTACGGATGCATATGACCCAAAGCCAAAATCCAAATCTCTAGACCCAAACCCTGAACCCTAGAGCCGAGGTGATGCCCAAAGTGCCGCGCCTTGGCGACCTCGACGCCGTCTCGGCCGAGCTGCGTGAACTGCGACTGCTCTAGGGAGCGATGTCATGTTCGTGTGAGGACCGAGGGTGTTTGACACTAACATATAAATGTACATGGACATGTACGTTTACATGTACATCTACATTTAGATATACATCAGGAAGATAGTATATGTGTATAAGCATGGACATACAGACATACTTGCATACATATATACATATATATATACACATACATATACATATGCGTATGCATATACATATACATATACATATACATATACATATACATATACATATACATATACATACATATCCAAAAGTATATGTTCATGTAGCCTTCCAAAAGGTCTTGTTAGGGGTGTAGAAAGGGTGTTAGGTTTTTTTGCAAGAGGGTGTTCAAGGAGCAGAACTAGGAGTGGGAGTAAACTATAGCACACTCTTGCAAGGGCTACGAGCGGATATTCGTACAGTTTATTCAAGCCTCTTTGTATTCGTGTACTAAAACCCCAACTAACATCAGCAGCTGCAAGACGATATCAGGAAGGGTAAGGAGGTATCACCACGAACAACAATGGCAAGGTGATTGTCGTACCCATCACCACTGCCACATCTACCGCTTACTACAGCCACAAGTGTCACCTGGACTCCAAATACTACAGAACCCTAATCAGAATAGGGTTTGGGGGGTCAATTATACTATAGTTATAATCAGGGACCCCCAAGACCCTATTCTAATTATTAACGCCCCTACATTAACAGCACCACCATTACAAGGACTTTGGCGTTTCGAGGCTCATACTGTTCTTGGCCTCAAGTCTTTGGCTGCGAGGGCTTCGCCAAAGATGTACAGAAGTTGTTTGCTTTGATGGGGGAGTCGTCTGCCGAGGGCGCTGGCATGGGTTTCCTAGGTTCCTGAGTAGTACCCTTTTGCCCTTTTTACTTTGGGGTCTCCTTATTAAAACCCAGCATAAGGAAAAAGGGTACCCTTAGTAAGTAGTGGTCACTCAGGAACCTAGTTTCAGGGCAGGCAAAAATTTCAACCCCGAGCCCCAAATCTCAGATCCGAAAGCTCATCCCCTGAACCCCAAACCCTAAACCCTAAACACTAAAGCCTAAAGCCTAAACCCTAAACCCTGCACCCTAAGCCATACACCCTAAACCCTAAACCCTCAGCAAGACACCCTAAACCCTAAACCCTAAACCCTAAACCCTACACCCTAAACCCTAAAACCCTAAGCCCTAAACCCTCAACCCCGACACCTTAAACCCTAAGCCCGACCACCCTTAAACCTTAGATCCGAAGCCCTCCAGTCAACCCAAAGGTAAGCAGGGAGGAGACCTTGAAACAATGATATAGATTCATTCTATGTAGGGTTTAGGGTTTAGGTTTTAGGGTTTAGGGTTTAGGGTTTTATCGATGCTACTGTTCATACAACCTTTGACCGTATATGCCTGGTCTCCTCCTGCAGCTGGGGCTTCGGACCTGAATTCGGTTTCGGGCTCTTTGGGTTAAGCTTTTTGGGTGCTCGGGTTGCCCTTTGTATCAAAAAGTCTTGTTAGGGTACCTTCGGGGCCTTATTACCTCTACTATTCTGGGGGTTCCTAATTATAGTTATAGTAAACTGGGCCCCAAAACCCTGTTCTAATTATTACGGCCTCTACATTATTGTTTTGCACTCTGAAATCCTCCGGTTTCAGACCCTAAACTTGGATGCCCTTCACCCCCAAACCCAAAAGCGTTAACTAACAAGCCGGAGGCCCTAACCAACATGTTCTTTAATGTTCCTTAGTGCAAGCATAGTATACCCCAAAAGGCCATTCTCATTGTTAAGGCCCCTGCATTACACCCCCCCTTTCCCCCCCCCCTCCCCCCAAAAAAAGCCGGCCACCCAGGCTGTGTCTCCTATTATCAGTTAGGGTTTAGGGTTTAGGGTTTAGGGTCTCCTGTTATATGGGAAGGTTTGGATGGAAATCTTCAAATCCTTGCTGAGCTCTTGTTCAGAAACTCTGATGCCTTTTATAGCACTACGTCCAGCAAGTTTGTTATTCAACCCTCAACCCTAGAACCTAACCTCTTGCTACGGTTGATGATATACATCCTGCATTACCCATCGTAAGGAATATACCATAATTCCTATAGTTTAGGGTCCTCAAGGTGATGCAGGATTTAGATCATCAACAGTAGTTACTCCCTAAGCCCTAAGCAGTAAACCCTAACCTCTTACTATGGTAGCTGGATCAGAGCTCCGTTTCAGGAGGCTGGATTCGGGCTCCAGGCGGCTCAGGCTTAGAGGTTTGGTGTGCGACAGGGCCTTTCTGTTCAGCGCTTGCGGTGCCTTCTTAAGGGCTTAGGCATCTGATGTCTAAGAGCTACCCTAAACCCCAAACCCTAAACCCTAAACCCTAAACCCTAAACCCTAAACCCTAAACCATAAACCCTAAACCCTAAACCCTAAACTGTTTAGGGGCTTGTGTATGATGGCCACTAGTTTCCCTATAAGGCCCCAAGAGCCCCAAGAGCCCTAAGAGCCCCAGAACCTTAAACCTCAAACCTTCGGGTTTGATGTTGGGGCCTAAATTATTACCTATACTATTTTGGGGTTTAGGGTTTAGGGTTTAGGGTTTAGGGTTTAGGGTTTAGGGTTCCTTATCAGAGCTATAGTATAATTATCACCCAAGCCCTATTCGAATTATGAAGGCCCTTACTTCAGCCCTAAGCTCAGAGCCCTGAACTCTCTGCGTTCCTGAATGCCGGACTCTGCTCCCTCAACTTGATCTGGCCTGATGTCCTGAGCGCATGCGGCTTCGGGTTTGGATTAGAGTGCCTTTCGGGTCCTTTTATACGGGTGCCGTACTATTTGGGAGACCCCAAAAGGGACCCTAATTTCGAGAACTACCCTTCTAGTGCCCTTAGAGAAACTATAGAAAGCCTTGATCCTTGGTCCCTTTTGGGTCCTTCTTAAAAGGGTGCCGTAATATATTGGGGACCGAAACAGGGACCGTAATTTGCAGAACTACCCATGTGCAGGCCAGGGCCTTGTAAATCACGTAGAAATACTGTAAACTTTAAGCTCTAAAGCCCTAAACCCTAAACCCATTCTGAAAACACTTTCTGCTGCAAATTCCTTCACGCATCCTACAAGGAGCAGTTAAGGGTTTAGGGTTTAGGGCCTAGTGTTTAGGGTTAACACCCTCAACCGTGAAACCCCACTGCGAGCTGAGATCTTGTTTGGGGACTGCCTTCAATGCATCATAGAAGACTTGAGTTGACGATGTGCTGTTCTTTTCTGGCTCCTTACGTTAAGCTCCTTAAAACGCTCCAGCCGCAAACCCTCCAGAATCCACGAGACCCTAAACCCTAAACCCTAAACCCTAAACCCTAAACCCTAAACCCTAAACCCTAGACCCTATACCCCAAACCCAGAAAGCCCTGAACCTTGGGAGCCGACAGCTCCACAGCCGTCGGGTGCTCAGACATTAGACACTGGCATGTCCATGTACAGATGCCGCTTGTACAGTTCCGCAAGCTCCGGAGAGTTATAGAAAAAGTTTCGCAAGCTCCGGAGAGTTATAGAAAAGCCGTGGAGGTTTAGGGGTTAGCTGTTTTTTTCCGTTTCGGAGGCATCTTGGGGCTGTTTTTTTATGCTCGGGTTTGGGGGTTTGACGGCCCTATGGGACACATCTTACAGCTTTGAATCGAGATTCAAAGACACTTCCGTCTTTGTGAAAAGAGCCTCTACGTCTTGCATTAACATAGGGGCGTCAATATTGAGTCATATCAGTCTTGAAGGTTCCGAAGATTTTTGTAATCTATAATGAGTGTCCAACACCCAAGTCTATTTCCACGAGGCATGGCTGCCGGTCCCCTGGATAGTCCAGGGAAGTAGCCCTAGGTGTACCCGCATTACCCTCGTTCCCTGTAAAATTTGGGGTCTCAACCATTGAAACCACAAGGAGCAAACGAATTCTTCTTCTTATGCACGATACTGTGCTATTGTATACCCTCGTTTCGGATACGCAGCGCACCGACAACAATCCTGACGTCGCCCAGGCCCACATCAGGATTCAGGTTTAAAGTTTAGTTTTTCAGGTAAATATACTGTTTTAGGGGTTCCTTATTATACTTATACTATAGAGGACCCCAAAACCCTAATGTAATTATTAACGCCCCTACATTATAGGATTCAGAGTTTAGGATTTTAAGTTTCGGGGATGAGGGTTGAGGGTGCACTGAGAACAAAAGACAGGAGCCCCTGAACCACTAAACCCTAAACCCTAAACCCTAAACCCTAAACCCTATACCCTAAACCCTAAACCGAACCGCCTAAACTGTCGAGATCCACAGTCCCTACAGGCCTTGCAGCATCCAGAAACACGAAGCCTTCTTCGGCCCTAAATCCTAAACCTCAAACCCCCACAAAACCCTAAACCCGAAACGACACAAACCCTCAACTTCTGAAGCAAAGCAGCGATTCCAGGAAGGTTGAAGACCCTCCTTCTGCCACCCCCGAACCCTGGAAACCCTAAGCCAAACAAGCCTAACGCTCCAAAGCCCTGACACAAAGTGTCCCCTAAACCCTAAACCGCGTCCTTGGGCTTCAGCTTTGCAAGCCTGCTGCAGTGACTTCGACATTGGACGGGGCCATGGCGAAGGCGGGTTTGAACGCGAAGGTTTGGCTATTTCGGGTTTGTATAGGGCTTCTTTGGGGCATGTAGAAGGGACTTAGTATGTCTTTATATTTATGGCTGTGAAAAAGGCTAGGGTCAATTTAGAGGTCGGAACAATCAGTAAGAGTGTCCCCCTTGTGGTCCCCGGCAGTTTTAATACAATGTGCACCAAAGCCCTATTCAAATGCTTAAGGCGCTTACAATAAGTGTCGTTAGGTGCTGTTGAACCGCTTTAGGGTTCTGGCTTCTCGGCTAAGGGTTGTCGTGTCCGTCAGCAGTGGGGCTTTCTTTGGCCGGTGTTTAGTGTTCAGGT